TTCTGAATCGAGGATAAAAGAAAAATTAAAATTAAACAGAAATAAATTCCTATGAATTTTCCTTATAGAAAATTTTTATATTATAAACCTGGTAAAGTCGAAATCTTGTAGAATAAGCAACGTGGAAAGCCGAAGATTGATTTCATATGTGATATAAGTCCTCTCTAGCGTGGGTAGAGTACGCTAAAAGAGACGTAAATTATGGTTCGCACCTAATAAACACAAAAACGGTTGCCCCCTATCAAAGGCAAATATTGGTCTAAAAATGTGTACAAATATTTCGAAGTGCCTTTAAAAGGCTAAGCAAAAAGTTAATCGGGTCTGTGTAATTGATGCGCTCGCGGCCTATATACCGAGGATGTGGTAATTAAAAGCCAGACCTAAGACGAATAGATATCTTGTAAGAGACTTCGTTCGATTACAAAATTCTTCAAGGCTCGCAATAAATAACAATCATCTCGACGCCCGGATCTGGCTAATAAGTATTTCTCTGACCAGTTTTATGCCCCTACACAACTGGTTGTATATGGTATATAAAGTTTGTGCAGATATATGTAACACCCAGAGGGGCTTAACATAGAGCTACATTTTATTCAGAATCATTTTCTTACTCTCTATCTAAGTTTGCCTCTCGGCTCATCTGATGTGTGCCCATGCATCTTCGCGTTACCACTTCTGTTATAATGTTTGTACTAAATGAAGTGTGCTAAGATATTTAACGGTGGCTTGCGTTCCACTATAGCGTTTTTACTTGTTCATTAATAAAAGAGTGCCCTTCTTTTGCTCCAAATGTGAAAATTTTCATTCAAAAGCTCGCCAATCATGCAAAGCCAAATGTTTCCCAAAAAGCCTATCTGCTTCACTAGTCGTAGGCATACAGATTAAATGAATTTTTTTGAAATTCAAATTTAGAGCAGTTACGTTGCTTGCTTGCAGAGTCCTTCAAATTAAAAAAGTCTTGCGGAAATGGCTCTGGCGTTGCCATAATTGAATATTTTTACAAAACCAATTTTTTTCAAATACTTTTAAGTTCGCGAATATTATTATACTTTTACCTTTCCTTCTATTCCAAAAAAAAAAAATTTTAAAATAATTCCCGCTTATTTCATTAAAGTTTCCGCTTGTTACCACTGACTCGCAATATTTAGTGCTTTTCTATTACCGCACGCCGACTTTCGTCTTAAGTGATTAGACCTTTCTTTTGTTTTTCACGCCAGTTTGACCCTCTTAATTAACTTGCAATAATTTGCGGTTAGGATTATTTTTTCCATTGACAATAACACTTCAAGCATAAAACTCCGTTTTTATCTTGCTTGCTTGCCTGCCTAGCTTGTCTTCGCCAACACCTCCTTTAAGTTTACTTGACTTCGATAAAAAGAAATAGCATAAGATTAATAAAAATTATACGAAATCGTTAAACGATAATTAATTCATTCATTCAAATTTATTTACATCATCGCTTACATCGCTGGTTCTTTTGTCTACATTTTTTTATTATAGACAAGAGCCATGTTTAGCCGTGATAACAATTGTTGGATAACATTGATTGAGTTTCATTCCTTTTGTTTGGCAAAAGTGTGCTTTTGTGCGAGGATGTATTACTATTGTGATGCTCAAAAAATCAATGTCAGTGTTATTGTGGAAGGCCGCAAGGATTACTTTCTTCATATCGCTAGCTCTTTGTCATTCGCAGGCATTCAAGTTCGACTTGAAGCGCATGTAAATCACTTTGGATTATGAATAGTATAAAGTATTCAAAGAAAGCAATATTGAGGGAAAAATGTGGTATTCTTGTACGGGAAAATGTTTCAGTATTCATAAGCCGGGAATTCTACACGGGACGGAGAATTTATATCGTGACATTGAAATAAACGAGTCGATCAAGTGCAGTCAGTGTAGTCTCCGATACTTTTATTCTTTTTTTTTTTTTTTTTAATTATTTTTTCCTTTCCATCCTCTTCTTAGACATCCACTTTTGTATAAAAGAAAAATTTTAGAATCGGAAGCAAAATGAAATTTACGAAAATCTTATTCTTATTCATAACAAATTATGTTTCGCTTCGAGCAATGTAGTCTTCTCAATACTTGCAAACTTTTAAAGACTTTAAGAGTCTCCATCACAATGCAACAACACCTTCAGCCTTAAGAAAATGGAAACAATAGACCTGAGTATATTAAAAGTTTTCCATTGAGTTGGAAACCTAGCTTTCCTAACAAGCACAACAGTATTTGAAGAAATATTTCCCGTTCCTATTAAAGAAAATTGTATTTGCCTTTTTTCTGTTTTCAGACTAACTCCAAGAAGACATCTTTCTACATATCTTTCGTTTCTCTTTCTCATTTTTTTGCTCTCAATTTTTAAGAATCTAAACATTTGTGTTGCTGTCCGCCTATGCGAGTTTGAAGTGAATGAATCAAATGGATAGTGACGTCCGTTTGTGTTAAATGACCTTCAGAAGGTCACCATTCACTTGGGCCATTTATCTTTAATGACCTCCGTTTGTGGTAAATGACCTTCAGAAGGTCACCATTCATTTGGGGTGTTTACTGCTGGTCACAGTACTTACTATCATACGTTAATCGAAGTCTGATAGTTCAGATTAAATTGTTAGTTGACCGGGCTGGAAATCATTTCTCCATTTATATTCTTTATACAATTTATTAAGGTTCTATTTAGCATTACTGGCACGTCTGTCGAACGATCATTTTTAGATTCAAGAAAAGCAAATGCACCAACCAAAAATTTTAACAGATCTCCCTTAACCCATTAACGCGGTTCTGTTAAATAAAGTCCCGGAAGAATTTAAGTCGAAATATTTTGAAAATTTCACTTAATTTTTGCTTTGCTCCGAAAAAATAAACACAGCATTGAGTGAACCTTTGATCAATAAATTTTCCTACGATGTGCAGGTTATATCAGTCTAGCATCCAAAATTTTTTATGGCAATTTGAAAATTGGTCCCCTACGGGCTGCTACAGGAAGCAATGTTTCGGCATTGCCTGAATCCTTGATCAAATATTCAAAGTCTTTGAAAATTGCCGAACTTAAGATAATGCAAGCTACTATAGAAAGAATGCTTGGAAGGTCATTGTGGCCAAACCAAGCACTGCGCAGAAACGAAACTAGCATTTGGTTTGTGCCTTTGCTAATTGTATATAACTTCATATATTTGAAAAAAACGTGTGCAAAAGTTTGCGATGGCGAAAATGTCGTTAAAAGACGGCCGAAAAGAGAAAAATAAATCGTTTCCGCATCTTCTCCTAGTCAAAAATATATTTATGTATATACACACACATATATACTTTTTAAGATCTCTTAAGCTTCTTTCCTAATGTCAAAAAATGAAAACAGTATAGTGGGCCATGGACCACCATTAAACACTTTACCCCATTTTACAATGGTTCATATAAGGGGTTTCCAAAACGATTCGCAATATGGGAAGTGACCGAAAAAGTTGTTCGATCCGAATCATTTACAATAATATTCGTTCTTGGTGCATGAGTTTCTCAAGTTTTATCGAAATATCTCAAAAATCATGCGCTGGACGTTGAACAACAGAAAACAAGACGAATCGATTACATCGATTCGAAAAGTGATTCCTAATCGAGGATGGGTCTATCTCAAGTCCTTTTCGGTGTAGCATAGTTAATAAGAACATGTACGACGAGTGTTGTAGGAAAGACCCGTATTTATCATTATTAAATATTAGATCATCAGATCTTCTGATAGATAATTGCTTTTAATAAATATTGAAATATTTCATCGCATTTAAGTGTACCCTCAATGCAATTTTCATAACATTATTTAAAGTGATTATATGACCTTTTTCAATAGTCATTGAGATGTATGTATGCGAACATACAATGTGTTATGCTCTTTAAAGTAAAAATTTTTCATCCAATTACATATGAAAATTAACCCACATTTTGGTTGCGTGCCTATAAGTGCAGAGGAAATTGGATACTTTTTGGTTTTTCGCCTTTTTTCATTTTCAAACAGTTTTAAAGAAACCAAAAGTCAAGTCACATGAGGGTGCAATTTATGTAAGGGCATATTTTCTGCATAATTGAATTTGAATATGGGAACGAGGGATGTCAAGTTTTATGTTGTCCATAAATTCTTAACAAATTTAATAAAAAAAAAAAAAAAAAAAAAATCAATTAAGAAAATTTTAATCTTTCCAAGACGAATAATAAAAAGCATCGATTTTTATGATGTGTGAATATAATAATGTAATGAATCGTTGTCTACGAAGAAGAAAAAAAAAAAAGATGAATTTTGTCTTAAAAGATTTGCAGAAATGTATTGAAATTCTTTAAATAACTTTACAGCAAGTGATTGAAAGTTGCATTAGTTTGTTTTGTTTTGTTTTGTTTTTTTTTTCATTTTGTTATTCGCCTTAAGATAAATTCTCAGCTGTTTCTTTATTTTCACATTCTACATAATAATAATAATAATAATAAATGCATAATAAAATTGTAAACACAATGTTTATAATGGATTTTGAGAAACAACAAACAAAGAGTTCAAAGAATGTATAGGAAGTTAAATGTCTGGTTTTCGGTTTGCTGTATGGGTGATCGCTGCTTATATTCTGCTGGTTACATATTCTTGCCTATTTATGGCATTGTACGCATACGGCTTTTAATATTTTTATTTATCCATAATACTTTATTATTTCTATTCATGTTACTTATCCATATCCAGACACTACTTTATCGTACGCCATAACAGACTCTCGCTTATTAAATATGATTAGTTTTAATGTAATCGCGTTTTCACACACACAAACACATACGCACGCACAAGAGAATTTCCTTCTACCCTTATCTACACTTATAACTAACCGACTGTTGATTAATGTCATTCGGTAGACTGTGCTATCACTTACCCAAGCCCTTTAATGATTATGATGACTAATAGAGTTTAGTGCAATAATACTTTTCATTAAATTGCTATCTTGTTTTCTTTTTCTCTCTTTTCCACATTTTCTTTACAGTTAAAATTAATGTTTGGATTGATTTAATATTACGCCAGTACTGCTAATCTACAACATTACTATAACAATGCCATTGCCCAAACGTTCAATAGAGCCGGTGCATGTGGCCCGATCTGTCTATCAACAGGATGAGTTGCAATCTGTGGAATTGGAAACTGTTACGAATACTACTCTGACGAATATAATACGACAATTATCCTCATTATCGAAGCATGCCGAGGATGTGTTTGGTGAATTGGCTCGAGAAGTGGGTAATATTGGCGACCGGGCGAATTCCTTACAGGCTCGTATCGATCGTTTGGCTATTAAGGTTACGCAATTGGATAGTACGGTCGAGGAGGTGCCTCTTACTGATATTACGCGAAAGAAAGCTTTCAAATCTGCCAAAAATTTCGATCAACAAATTTTCTCAAGAGCTACCATGCCGGCTCCCATGCTGGAAACTTATGCTCAATGTGACAAGCCACCACCGCTTGATAAATTGAACGTATACCGAGACGATGGCAAAGATGGCCTTAAGTTCTATACGGATCCCAATTATTTCTTTGAATTGTGGCGCCAAGAAATGCTGAAGGACACGGAACGTGTCATGCACGATAAAGGCAAGAAAATGCATAGGCCACGGCAAGACGGTAGCAGTGGCGGTGCCAGCGGTCGCGGTCATAAGAAACGGGTACGCACACCCCATAACACCCGCGAGAAACAGCGACAAATCGCCATCGGTCATGGCGAAACTCTAATGCCAAACAATGTCATTTATCGTACGCCAAATGCAGTTATAAACGAAGAGGTTAGCGGCGGCTATGGCAGTAAGTATTTTATCATATTTTCGGTGTTGGGGTAGTTTTAATCCATTGACTTTTAACTTGGTTTCCTTTCGATATAATTGGTATTTGATTTATTATGAAAGCCTTTTTATGCAAACCAACTACGGGGGAAAAAGATAACTGCTAGCGAGGGATGTTTGCGAATATTTCCAGTGCTGTTGCAATAATATGTAAATAAAAGAACAATTTGTTCAATAATTATGCAATTTTAACGATTACGAATGATGGGCACTGATGGGTTTGCAGACTTTTCGAATATACGTGAAATTTCCCCAAACAAGCTTCTGGTTGATCCTTGATCACTTTATTTCGATATCTAGAGGCGAGTTCAACGTAGGCAGTGAATGCACAAGGCGTTAGACGAAAGATAGAGCTTCATTTTCTTAATGCATAGACAGGTTTGGAATCGCGCATACTTTATAACCCTATAAAACTATGGCGGGTGTGAAAGGTGACAGAAAAATTTGCAGTATTTATGATTAAGATGCCTTATTAGTATCAAGCGGCTTGCTTCTTTTCTCCTTTAAATTTCAATGCTGAAGACACCCCTCTCTGCTGCACTGGTTGCCTTACTTGATCCTACTATAAACTCGATAAAATTCTTAAAAAAATTGGGAAAAACCGCCTCGTTTGATCTTATGACAATGTTGCGGAGCTAAGCATTAATCAAAGAAACAGTTTCGAACCACATCAATAGATCTTGAATCATACGTTTGGATATCACGCGTATTAATAGATAAAAAATTCAGTTATCATCTGCCAATCGCTATTGACACGAAACGAAATCCAGCCTTTTTTGAAGAGCTGTAATACGACCGGAATATTGCGTAAGGTGGACGAAGCTTCATACGCGATGATAAATCTGGGATTGTCATCATGTTAGGTGATATTTGATGTTTGATAGGATTGGAAGGGCATCGAGCGGCTCCAGCCTTTTTCTATCGTCACGTTATGTAAGGCTTAGTGTTCGATGAGATTGGATGCTGATATCGCAGCATGAGGTGCTCCAACTTTGCCGGGTATTCGATTCCATTCTTAGTTGTCAATTTATTGCTTATATGGTTAAAGTACTTACTTGAGGTAAGGCACTTATAGCTGATCAAGGGGAAAGGCATCGTCTTCCATTTCGATTATGCCAAATCTCACATAGATTGAATAATTGGAAAAGTAGAGAAAGTTTAATTGGTCCTCTAACCCATTCTTTCCTTCGACCACACTTTCGCAATTGCTCTCTTATGGTTCAAAGTTAATCTCATGAATTGCGCACTGATGGGAAGATGTTTCGACCAAAGTGATGATAAAACGTTACCCCTATCAATATGATACATATTTTAATGTTAATTGAAGTCGACTTAAAACATGAAAGAAATGTGCTTGAAATATTGCTGAACACCACAACAACTCTTTCTCTGGTAACAGAATCATAAAGCATAGAATGTGGCATAAAATATATTTAATGCATTTAAAGATACTCTACTGAGTATACTGAGTGATGGAATAAGTTTTTTACAGAGAATAATTTCAGACATTTCCCTGATTTCAATTAAATTCATACTAAAAATCAAGATTTCCTCATATAAAAAATGAAAAGAAGTCGATATTTTAATGAAATCATATCAAAATCCATTAGTCTACGGCTCTGCTCTCGACTAGATGAGATTATAGACTCAGCCAGAGACATGCGACTTTTTACAGGTTTCCTTAATTTTCCACTATCCACCATATGTATTCCAATAATAAATATATTCATATAGCGCTTAACGACTTAGCGTTTCAAAAGCAGGATAGGAAGTTTGTGCCAGAGTTGCACCCTCTTGTCTTGATTTTTGTGACTAATGCGATTCCACAAATGTTAAAAGTCGTTTTAGAATAGGCGAAAATCGGTATCTCGAAAACTTGGTTTAGGTAAAGAAAACTTCATTGCGGGCGTTTAAAGGTTCTTTCATATAAATAAAAGTCATTAAGCTCCAAGTGCTTTATACAAATTTTTTTATAGATCCAAACTTCAGAAACGTCATATTAACCTTTTGAAGAACTACGCGGCAGTTCTACTGTCGAGCTATGCAACACTATATATATTACAACTATATGTGAGTAACGGTATTGGATGATTGCATAACTTTTTGAATACCGTAAAATATAGCGCGCTTTTTGGGTAAAGCAATGCCAATGAAATTATGGTTGCACTTGTGTTGGACCTTTGATGCGGTTAAAATTTAGCAGATACATTACATTCTCTCCGAAGCAAATTAGAGAGAAGGAGAGCAAAGGTCACAATATGTGAACACCAAGAATTTTTAAGAAGCCCTAGAAGCCCTAGATTTATCTGTTAACCGCAAAGAGTAACAAGTAAAAATGCTACAGTTAACCAAGGTCGTCAATTTAGTTATGCTATAGTTAATATTTACGTTTTGTAAAGACGTTTTTATATAGGACAGTGTTCTAAAAACGTAGCCATTCGATAAAAATTTTACGCTTTCCATTAGTATGGGAAAATACCACTTTTCACCGGTTTTCAACGAGAAATATTGAAAAATGTTTATAGCTTTATCAGTTGTGTGTACAGGCGCCAAAAGGCCCTGAACTGTTTTCATACGATACCTCACATTTTATACTTTCTGGATTTCTTATTCTTCTGAATCCCTCTCTTTCTGAAACGATTTAAGCTTGTCTGTCCGTCCTTCGTGTTCAACCTCCGCAATTTTTGAGACATTTGGATGAAATTTGGTAGAGCGATTTGTTTTGCCCCAAAGACCATCGCTAATGTAAATGGTTCGGATCGGAGCAATTTTTCGAGCACTTTGCTTATGCCACCTTATTTTGAAAAGTTTTTATACGAATAAATGCAGAATATATAATGGTGGGCCCTGGGTCATCACAATACTTTCACTTGTTGCTCATAACTAGTTACTTTGAAAATCTAGAAGATTTACTTAGAATTACGTTAAAATGTTGGCCGCAAGTTATGCCAAATGTGCCCATAAATAATAAATATTAGTAAACAAGTAAAAAAATCATAGTCGACCAGAATCTTTTATACCTATCACCCTAAAAAAGAGAGAAAGGACTATGCGTTTTTAGAATAAAAGTTGAAATTTATGCGATATATTTGTTGTGCTTTATGAGCAACAAGCTAAAAACGCATAAAACAAAGTTCACGATTCACAGTTTTTGTTACATAGACGTGTGGGCATTGCAGGAGTGTTCTTTGAAAAAAAAAGTTTTTATTCCTTTTGATAAACAGAAATTTGTCCAGTACAGCGCTACTGTAGGCGTGCCCTTGGGCTTGTGGAAGGGGCTTTGATTGAAGGACGGACAGACATGTTTAAACGAATCCCGAATTTGATAATGACGATGAACGATATTGACGATACTTTATGGGATCTTCGAAGCTCCCTTTTGGATGTCGCTCACGTGCTGACAAAATGAATATAAGCCAATCCTTCGGCGCATGGGTAAAACAATGATTGTTGTCCAGCTGTTCCATCGCATTAGATATTTATTAATTTCATTTATATTCGACTTTTATCTATTACCATAACTGGTCGATATTTGCGATTAGTTTTGAAAATGGAAATGAAGTTTTTTTTTTTTTTTTGTCAAAATTCAATGGAATTTGCAACAACACTGGAAATTGATGCAAAACAATCTGATAAGTTGAAAACGCACCCAATTCCAAGAAAACTCCAATTTGTGATCATAATTGATACTCAATCCAAACTAAATACAAACGAATGGACTTTTAAATAAGATAATTTCTTTAATGTATAATATCTAGCCCAACTAGTTGAAATACACACAACAACTATGACTATCACCGGTGATAGTGAGAGTGCGATAATACAGCAACAACATCAACTAACAGGTCGTGGTGAAGATGATGATGATGATAATGATGATGGTGATGATGATGGTACATTAAGCTATAATAGGCGTTATGTGTTCAAAACAAACAACTTTGATGAATTAACATGTAGGTACGACAACAGCACGACAGCTCAATTTAAAAAAAAAAAAAAAAAAAAAAAAAAATGAATAAGTAAAGCCTAATAGATCAAAAAAAAAAGTCATGCGTATCCATATACTTTCAATACCAATAGATATCAATCAAAAAAATGAAAATGTATCACGTCATCAAAAAATAAAAAAAAAAAAATTAAAAAAATGCCAAATGTCTATCTTTGTTCTAGTTTTGTTGCTCTCCACTATTTCTTGTTCAAACGTTCGACTTCATTCAATCAACAATAATATAAATATTCATATAAGATGTTTGTTCTTCCTTTTCGTACGCATTAATAATAATAATAATAATAATAATAACATTTAGCATTTTCTCTTGCAAGCGTTCTTTACTTCAGAGAACATTCATTCACATGTGTGGCTTCGCTTAGCAAGTTGAAATACATAAAAAGTGACAGCATTCCATATGACCAGCCGACCAAGCAAACAAGCAAACCAAGCCAAACCAAATCATTAATTAATCATTGTTTCTCGTTAGACAACCAACCAGCCAGAGTCAATTGGGCATTTAGAAAGATCTGCACGTACATATATATATACATTCACACACACACACCCATACACATAGTGAAAACAAAAAAAAAAAAAAAACAAAAAAGAATTGTTTTATTTTTTATATCATAATTTTCGATGTGTCGTTATTGTATTATTCTTTACTCCCGGTCTTGTCCTCATTTTCAAATTTGCGCGATTCGTACCAAAGCGCCGTGTTCATCGTTTCTTATTTTGGTTTCTTTGTTTTTTTCTTTTTTGTATTCTTTGTTTTTTTTTTTTTCTTCTTGCGTATCTCTCGACGATTATCATTTTTACAGGCAGTAACGCTAAGCCCTATAACATGCTTTCACATTTGGAAAATAACAGTAATCTGACGAAACAAACCGCTGTTGCCATTGCAGGTCAGAATCGTTGCTAACCATAAAACCATTAAATGACATACATATATAAATGTATCTAAATAAAAACTACATCATTTTAAACAGACCTACATATATACAACAATTATTTAAAACTTAAACAATAATCTCTCTCTCTCTCTCTCTCTCTCTCTCGCTGTCTCTCTTTCTCTCACTGCGCTAAATACGTAAAAAAAACTTTTTTCTCCATTTCAATGTCTCGCACTGACACTGAACAGAATTTTTTTACTAAAACTTATTTTTCCTTCGCTTAAATTTTTTTTAAATATTTTTTTATCGTTTTTTTTTTTTTTTTTCAAATGCATACAATTATATTAACACACTTTTTATAAAAATTATTGTTTTTGTAATTTTTTATCTATCGTAAATAATACAATAAATTTTACTCTTAATTTAATTGATTTGCAAGTTTAGTTGAAAAATTTATTAATGTAATAAATTATATAAAAAAAATTTTTTTTTTTCTTAATAAGACTTCATTTTAATGAACTAAAAGGTGGAATATAATTTTTTTCCCCCCAGAGTTAAATAAAAAGTGTGGTGTGTTTAAGGTGTTAATGAGGAAGAGTTTTAAAATTATTATGTGCAGTCGCATAGAAGTCACTGTGGGGAAAAATTTATTTTCCACTCTTTAGCTCATTAATATAATGGTTATTAAGAAAAAATTTTCTTTTGTGCAATTTATGGCCTACTTTCCAAGTCCTTTTATTTGATACCCATATCGAGGAGATTATTAGGCAAAAACTAGGCCGCCACGCCATGTCTTCCGCCATATTTGATTTGCAATTAATATAGCTTGTCTCACTCTATCATTCGAGCCGTCTTATTTTATACTTCTATTAAGCCAATTGCTAGTAAAAAGCTAATCCCCTGCTACGTGATTACGTTGTGTTCAATGTGAAACGATAGTCGCATTCTACTCTCCAAGTTTTTTTATTTGATACTTATTTCGAAGGGAATGCTAAGTTAAATAGGATTCGACACTTCGAATATATAATAAAAATTTCTGTACTCGCAGTACCGTCATCGTATGCAAAATCTTAGCATAATCGGATGTATTAAAGTGACTGAAATATTGATTGATAGTCTTCATCCTGACGGTTAACTTTTAGGCAGGGAACTCGACCGCATTACGTTGTATGTTGCGGGAGTCAAAGGTGTGTGTAGGGCACGGTCGGAAACAAGGAACTGCCTGAAAAACCGATTGCCAAGGCAAGTTAACGAAAAGCTTGAGTTGTTGAGTTTGTCGCGTCTGATAATGAAGTGGGATGTCGCTAGGCCTTCCGGTTCTCCTTTTTTTTTTTTATCAATGTTCCCAAGACATGGGGAACTTCCAGGGACTTGTTGGCAGTGATAGGAGACATGGGAGGTGGGGAAAGAGTGGCACTCCGAGACGAAAATTCCTCAAGCGAGTGTCAATAGCTTCTTTGAGCATGCAAGCCCTTCATTGTATATCATTAGATATTTTGTTTCAAATTTTTATTGTCGTCGGATGTAAAAAGAAAAACATGAACCTCGGGTTGAGAACCCACCGCTTCAATAGCCCTAATCATAACAGAATCACATCCATGAGAAGCTTATAGAATCCTGTTCACTTGCCCTTAAAAGGCGGAAATAATCTATCAGAAAATCAGGAGCTATTATAACACGACCGTGAACATACAAATTCTGCCATATAAATTCTGCAAATATGATATTATTTTTTAATGAGTGCTCCAAAGCAAGTATAAATACTAGAGTAGGGCACGGACTACTCACACTTTCAATATTACCAACGCAAATTTTTTAACATTCGACTTAAAACTTTACAATATTTTTATTTATGGAATTTAGGGAAAAATGAAAAATTACAAGTTGTTTGTTTTTTTGTTATGCTGGGGGAGGGTCGGCTCATATTAATACATTCTTTGCGGGGAAACAAATAAACTCGTCGTATACCTTTTTATACTAAAACGCGGGTAACGAGCTTACTCGTTTTGTTCCGCGAGCCGGTGAGGCACGGAAAACTTATGAGCAAGGGCTCTAAACGGGTGGCACGTCGCACGTAATCTATTGTCAGCGGAACCCAATGTTTCTACCTGGCGATGCAATAAGTTTGGGACGAAACAAAAACAATACCTATAGAAATAAATATGATGTGAATGTTTTACGAAAAGTCTGATTTTTGCGCGAAAATGTCAAAAAGGTCCCGCTCTGCTCCGCGATTTGGCGGAAAAATGCCCGACTTCATAGTGTTAAGAAAAAAATCTTAAAGAAGGAAAAGAAAGTATGGAATTCAGACAACCAACATTCAGAGAGAGAGACATATTATATAACGCTGATCTTCAATAAACATGCTTCTTTTTACCGCCGGCGAGCGTTTAAAAATGTTGAAAACCTTCGACTTGTCGATTGTGTTCCCTAATCAAATAAAATTATTTAGCAGTTCCTGATATCAAAGACGAGTGAAATTAAATGCCTCTGAAGAGAGTAAGAGAAACGATTGTATAAGGTCACGTAGTAAAATTAGTAGTAAAAGTTCGTTCAGCCGCTTAAGGTTTTAATACAAAATCAATGTCATCCAAGTACTGTCAATACTTTCGGGATTCGGGATTTGAAAGTAAGGTAGTTTTGCTTACATTCCTCGATTTTTTTTCTTTTCAAAGCCCAAAGATTAACCAAACAGCTGAAGGCTTCTTAAGATCGTGCAAGCAAGACATTAGTGCTATCAGTTCATTTTAATCCACTAAATTGTTGTTTTAATCCACACTGGTCTTCGCCCCTTCGTTCCTTTCTTTTCCTAAAAACTACTCATACTTTTTTTTGAGTTCATAATCTGAGTAAGTGAGAAAACTACATTCGTCTGTGATCAAATTTTTTACACACCTTCCATACTTTGTACTAAAACAAAAGTACATTTCCCCATTTTACAGTATTGGGTGGGCGAGATCGATTTATATCGTTTTTGTACAATACACGGGGAAATTCTTATTTTGCGTCTATTATAGCTTAAGAAGAATGAGTAAAGAACCAAGTAAGCATAGGTGTTCTCCGCTTATGCAGCTCTGTAAAAAACCAAGAAAGCATACGTCTTGTCTGTTTATGCTGCACTGTAGAGGTGTCCTTCGATCATTGTACTCCATTATTAATACTAGCCTGTGTGCAAGAATTTCCAGCAATTTGAAGGCAATCTTGCCATTTTTGTGGGCGGGAGAAATATTAGTACAGATATTAGATCAATTGGTGGATGGACAGACAAACATGCTTATGTATATTGCGAATTTAGCATATCGGTCTCTGAAGTTTTCTTCTGGGCATTGTAAGCATCTTGGAAAAATAAATCTGCTCCCTTCCCTCGAAAGCGGGTACAAAAATGTTAGTATATCCCCTCGGATGTAAAATATAGCTATAACAATAATATAACAATTTCCTGAGCGACATTTTCATTATTCAGGTCAGAAAGTATGCATTATACACGTCGCGAAATTCATAATTTTTTTTTTTTATTTTATTTATTTTCAAAAACCAAGTTTTCTCTTCCTCACGTACATTTTCTAATAATTCGTAATATGTTTTGCCCTGAACATGAATAAGAAAAGAAAGTAAACATTAACATTATATTTTATTAATGTAGTAATTTTTTTCGATCTATCGACTCTCTACACATTTTCATTTCGATGAAGTTATGCGGAAAATATTTTTAAAATAAAAAATTTTCATTTTACACGTTCACCTTGCTTATGCATTTCCTTTCATCCCCAGTCGTGCACTCTTTGCATTCGTGATACCACACATGTACGTAACGATAAAAAAATGCATTCAATTTATTTTTTTTTTTCCCCAAACCTTATGTAATAAAATCATACATGTTTTGTATTTGTATATTCTCCCGTTTTCACCAAATAAATCTTTAATTGTGTCTTTCCTTCCTATGTCTCTTTTGATCTGTGTACTGTCTTATATATTTCCCTTAAATTGGAATTAAAATCCTCTTAATTAGAATATTTGTAATATTTACAAAAATTTTATACAAAATTTATGTATGTAATTTACGTTGCTGCGCAATAAACCTCTAAATAGGTAGCGCAGCTCTCAAATCGGCTTTAACTTCGTTGTGATAGTCTAAAGCAACACTATTAACCTTAATGTACCTCAATGCTATGTTAAATAGTTTTTCTTTCCCTTTCTCTTTCTTTTCTTTTTAAATCATTTTCTATACAATTATTATTATTATTCTTATTTTTTTTCTTTTTTTGTTTACTAGTATATGTGAGATATATTGTAAAGATGTTGTCTCTGTTATTTGTCTGTCCAAACTATATGATCTTATATAAAGATTAAAACTTTTATTTGCAATTCGTTAAAGGTATGGGTATATACGATTCGCGACCACCGCGGCCCAATTCTATTGAATTGCGACGCAATTATCAATCGGAACAAATTGATGGTGTTTACGGTCCGTTGTCGCCACAGGGAGCGATTAGTGCAATGCAAAATGCATCTGGTGGTGCTGGAAGTCAATACGCAGCCGCCTATGCTGCTGCTAATGGTATGCATCCTGCTCAACATATGCCGCATCAGGTGGGTATCTCGCAACACCAACAACAACATCAATTGTACGATGATGGTTTATATCATCAGTCACAAGGTTTATACGGTCAGGCGGGACAAAATCCTCTATCACCGGAACCGATTTATGCACCAGGCACGTCATCGCGTAATAAACCGCGACCCTCGCAACCTCCTCCAGCACCTCCATCGAATGGCAGTGGCGGTGGTACACCTACGGCTTCAAATGCTAATACACCCACTCGTGGGCGCAGTATGTCAACGAGTCGTGATGCTTTGCCACCTCCACCGCCTATACCGGACGGTATGGTGAATACCACATCACCCTCACAAATGTTGGCGGCCATGAATGGTAGCGGTAGTGGTCATATAGCCGCTAAATTGCTGGGTCGTACCAGTAGTACTTCGAGGGCAGGCTCTCCCCAATTGGCCCCCAGCAGTAGTGTACAAGATGCTAATGCTTTAGTTATGCAGCAATTAAATAACACGATTAACAGTTTTAATAATATGAATTTGACCGGCGGTATTGTACAACAAATGAATTCATTAAGTGATTTGCCACCGCCACCACCGGCTCCAGATCAGGTATTTAATTTCTTTGCAATTTCTTAAATTTTCTTTCAAAAAAAAAAAAAAAAAAATCTACAAATATGTATTTCATTTAAAGCATTCACCAAAGTTATCACCACCAAACTCAGCGCCACCTCCTCCACCACCTCCGCCACCTTTAGATGAGAATGGCAGCGGCAATGGCAATTCCCCTATCACGCAGCAACCGCCTCCTCATCAAATTATGCCAAAGTCCCTACCAAACGGTGATATACAAAGCAATGGAATGATGTCTGGTATGGGACAACATTTAGTGGGGCCTAAGAAATTATTGCCACCTTTCCATGATACACGTACAGACCTGATGAAGGCCATAAGAGATGGTTAGTTTGAAAAAAATAAAAAAAAAATAAAAATGTTTAATTCATATGCGTATACATACATACATATATATATATATATATATATATATTTATAACTTTTCTTATAGGAATTACGTTACGCAAAGTAGAGAAATCCGAACAAAAAGAAATTGAACGCAACACTGGTTTGCATGATGTTGCTTCCATATTGGCAAGACGTGTAGCAATTGAACTTTCCGAATCGGAGGAATCGGAAAGTGATGACGATAGCGAGGGTTGGATGGAACCAAATGAAACTTCCGCTTGATCTCTCATGTCTTTCATACCTGAAAAAATCAAAAAGAAAAAATAAATTAATTTAAAAGAAAGACAAAACAAAAGAAAAAAAAGGGCAAGAAACGAATTTTCAAATTCTAAATACTTTTAATGAAAAGTAAGCTGTTCACTAGACCCGATAAATCGACCAAGCTCTATGAATGTTTGCATGTTTGGCTTTCATTATTAAAATGGCATTAAAATGGATAAAAAGTAAACACAAAAATATTTATACAAATTTATATATATATATACATAGTCAAGTGTTAAAACAACAAAATAGATAAATTCAATAAGTCGCTCAATGATTAACAAAAATTTAATGAAGACAAAACAAAAACAAAAAAAAAAAAACAATAATACAGATAATTTATTTTTAAATTGTACATATTACAAGAAAAGGGGGAGTATATATCTATATATGCATATATCTATATAGAATCACTTTATAAGTTAAATGTAAAGTTTAAGAAAAAAAAAAAAAAAAAAAAAAAAAAAAAAAAAAAACGGTTACATTAGCTTGTATGCACATGTAACATTCGTATTGTCACTATGTATTCACAACGGTACTCCTTCAACCCTATCGTTGCATAAATATAATGATGAGACAGCTTTTTTCCACCACCATAACATTAATATTCTCATATATAGATATACAATAAAAAAAAAACAAAACGAATTCAATCGCACATGAATTATTCGTTTATATTGTTGTGTAGTAATTAAATTAAATTGGAAAAAAAGCAAAAAAAAAAAAAAAAAAAACAAAGAAATCAAACTCTTAACTAGTTTATAAATTTTTTTCATACAATGTATAAGAATTTGATCGCTGACCTTTTTGAAACAGTTTTAAATTAAAGCACGTTTAGGCAATTAAGATATATTGTGTTAAGGTGGCTGCTATAATACCTTTCATCGAAATGACTTGATTTATTCGCATTGAAAATGCATAGACATGTTTTCAATACAAAATACTCTTTCAGTTATGTAGCTAACATATGTAGCTAATATACTTGAATTTTGGTTTGAAATTAAACGAGACTTGAAAGCAATGCAATATGCAAAACATATATAGAACGCAAAATTCACCTCCAGCAATGATGCAACATTCCTCTAAGCCTTATCAAAATGAAAAGTTTTGAAATCTTAAGAAATAGAATTGAACGACACTTCCTCGCTTCATATATGTCGTGGAACTTTCTTTTTTATATATATATATATATATATCATATATATAAAGTATATATATATAAAGTTGTTTTTTTTTTTTTTAGTTAGCAAATTTTTGTAAATAATGCTGTTTATTAATAAAATTCAAGTGTATTTAAAGTATCAAGTATCACAAAACTTAATAATCGGAATATGCGCCATCATTATCCAATGTTGTTTGTCATTTATCGTTTAGCTTATTAATGCTCATGCATCAGAAACTTCCCAGTTTGGAGGCGAAATATTCATACATTCATTCATTTGCGCACGTCTTCACCTTCTGTAAACCGTTCTTCTGCTAAATATGACTTCATCGACGTGAACATTTGGTAATCGGAAGGAATCAGGTCTTGAGAATACGGTAAAATTGCCCAGCTTAACTTGCGAAACTCTTTCTGGGACGTATGCGTGTTTTTATCGTTTTCAAGATTCACACTTTTGGCCCAAAATTTCACAAAGTACTTCTTAACCGTTTTGTTACCTACCGCATTTTCCATCTAAGGTCAACTTTTTATGCACACATACACAACATCTGATTGAAGGAGAAAATTGGCAAAAACTTATTGGATTTTTAATTCAAACTAATACTAGTAGCACTAGTAGTACTTGTATACTAGTAGTATTAATTAGATAATTGCTTAAAATGATGATAATTAATTAATTAACATGAAATATTATATCAAACTTAACGCTTCTGATATTGAAATCCTGTACGAAGTTATTCATTCTGCCCGCAAGATCACGAAGAAGTGCGATGAAAAAGAATCATGTAAAGTACGTTGTCACTTTAACAGTTTGTTATCGGTTAACTTTCATCACATGCTCTCCAGAGTATGTGTAATGAAATAATTTGACAAAGTGACACATACTAAAATACATTATTATGGCAAAAACATATTTATAACGTTCAAATTTTGCAGGAAATTCCAATAAGGACGGACGGACATATCGTGATGTGATATTGGTCACAACCCCATATTTTGTACTTTTTTCATAATATATACACACACAGTTAACTGATTAAGTCGCGTTAACAATAACAGCACTGCTAACATCAATTGTCTTTTATTAATGCTTAGGCTGAATTTCCGATTTAAAAAACGATGTACGATAAGCGAATTAAAAAATGCACCTTATTAGTTTATGCACGGTATATGGTCTTTACATTTCATCTTGACTCCAAGCTGGTTATAGATAGAGAATCTTTAAATTTCATCTTGGAGTCAAGTGTAATACCTAAATATTTGTCTGTTATAATAGCCGTTATATTAGCCGCTCGGTTCGTTTCCTAGTAATGCATATCGCATTAATTTTTTGACAGTTAAGCATTATTTTCCATTATGCTCTTTCTAGATTAGTTTGGGATATCATGAAATCATGAAATACTACTTTTATGCTAGACACTATTTAAAGCCCAGCAAGATTCAAATTTCTACTTCATTCATATATAGTGTGCGTGTGTGTGTGTGTGTGTGTGTGTTTTTTGCGGAAATCGAATTTCAAACAGTTCGAATAGATTTTGAAAAAATGACTTGGAATTGATCGCTTCACATTTTAACACACTCTTGGGGAGATAGGGACTTCGAAGTTGGCTCTTTTGAAACAGGAGGTCTTGCAATGTGATTCTTGCCAGTGATTCTTTCTTTTTTGAGGTTTTTTTTTTGGTGAGAACAAGTAATGAATCGCTTGAAACATGCTAATCCATGGAATGCAATTCTTATCCGTACATTAATTTTTGACTTATGCTGTTTGAAGAAATTTTCCGTGAGCAAGTGCTTGCTTAACCTTTCAGTTTAATATATGTCTTTTGAACCATTAATTAAAAATTATGAAAGATTTCAAGTATTGTTTTAGCTACCTGTGACGAATGACAGCCTAAACTGCTTGCTACAATTTAAAATGTCAAATTTGATACAAGACAGAGCAGAAAGAAAAAGAAATAGAAAAAAAATGCTTAAGAACAAGATGTCATTAAAATAAAACATATTTGAATAAAATCTTAATTATTAAATAATTCACAACAAAACTATTCGAGAATAATAGTAAAATTGTTTCGCTACATATATATAACAACATTGAAAACATAAATGAAATACTCTTTGGGGTTGGTTTAAATGAAAAAAGAAAGAAATTAATAAAAATTCTCTTTCACCATTATATAATATTTGTAAATATGCGTAAAGCTAGACAAAATAAAATAAATAAAATATTAACAAACATCAACTCTCTATTAATATAGAATGAACGCAAAAGTTATTTACACAAATACGAAAATAAAAATGTTAACGCATTTATTAAAGGAGTTAATAAAAAAATTCTTTACATACAATAATTAAATGCGAAGGCAAAGAATTCATTTAGGGGTAATTATTATTATTGATTATCCATGAATTTATTTGAATTAAAAATATTGCAAAAAAAATAAATAAATAAAAAGTGGTTCAGCGAAAATAATTAACCTGCATTACCCTGCGATGATAGCCTGGCATTTAATTTGTTTCATACCCACCATTAAAAGACGAAGGTATGGTAATGTTGTCATTGTATTTGTAACATTCAGAGATATGCATAACCATGAATAATATGGGATTTTTCATGTCTGTCCGACCGTCTTCCCGGATCATTCGGACGTGTGCACAATCAAAGATGCGATAGTATGGTAAAGGCGATGCAACGACGGTTAGCATAAGAATTTTCAATGTCTGTCCGTCTGAACCATTCAGAAATATGCTTGTTTAAAGGTCCTACCATGATTAGCATGGGATTTTGAACGTCTGTCCGTCCTGATCAATCGGAGATATGCATAATTAATAATCCGAGTACAATCAATATGAAATTTTGAATGTCTATCCGTCCGTCCGCCTTTCAGATCATTTGGAGATGTGCACAACCAAAGATGCTACTACGATAATTGCAATATGACGACGGTTAGCATGAGTTTTTGAATATATGTCCATCCATCATTCGAACTACTGAAAACTTGCATGCTATTAGTGCCAATGAAACTTCAAAATGCATGTGATGCATGTGTAAAAAAAAAAAAAATAAGAAAACGGGAATAGGAAACTTTTGAGTGACAACTTATAACAGACATTGATTTTTTTTTTACAAATTTTACTGATACCCCGTAAGAAGGCTTCCATAATTATCATTAAAAAATGTGGATTTTCATTTAGTTGCTTGCAGGTGTTGGGTATCCAAGATTCGTCCTGAGACGAATAAAACTTTTTTTACTTGTTTTAAATTCTATTTATATTTAATATGTGTATTAATGTTTAAAAGGAATTTATATAAATGTTTATTATTAATTTTTTTGTGAGTGTCTTTGTTTTTTTTTCTTGTAAATTTTTTAATTAATTTTAATAAAATGAATAATTAAAATTTTTTCAACTTTTGAATTTTTTTTTTATGAATATTTGTTATATGTTTTTTAAACGATTTGTTAATAAATCATTCAAATCATCTGGTGTTCCTTCATTTATATGTGCAAGTTAAAGTCAATGTTATATAAAATTAAATTAATTTTTTTTTATTGAATATTTTTTTTTTTTACGATAAGATAGGTATATGTATTAAGAAGGGAGAAATGCGAAATTGAAGCAAAAAAAAAAGCAAAATAAAGTAAAAGAATGAAAAATTTGATAACTTTATAAAAATATCAATATTTCAAAGAAATGAAATTTAATAAATAAATTCTTAACAAAATGATTGAAAATATTAATAAATTTTCGGAGATTAAAAGAAGTCTACTTGTTATTATCAGCCAATTTGAGACAACTGTAAAAAGTTCATTATTAACGTATAACAATTAACTTGAATTAACCTACGATCAATGTATTCTGAAACTTTGCTTTAAGATAGTGTAGTATTTTATGGATTTCCTTTATATATATTTTTCCATCCACTCTTTTTTTATACGATAGATGCTTTCTGTTGAATACGGTGCCAGAAAAATTGTGCAAAAAATCCGTGCGACTTATCGTAAATTTGGGGATGTTTTCCATAGCTTTAAAAAATCGGGTAAAATGAAAAAACTCTAAATATTTTTCCAAAAAACCGCGCAAAAAAAGTAATAAAGAAGTCCATATTACATATTTAAAGAGTAAACAAAGAATTCGGTCCATAAATGCTTTATGTCAAAACTTGAAATTAGGAATAAAAGTCAATTAAGCAACTTTTTACTTGCGTGAACGTTGGTTACGATCCGATCGTCAGGAGGTATGCCAGATACATCTAGTACAATAGATTATATAGATGTTTAATGTCTGCACCTAGCATGAAGCTTTAGTTACATGAGTTCTCTAGAACCATTGGTCATTAATTTAATTGAATTCGGCATCCCTCAGCCTTGCAAGACAATCCTGTAAGAGGAGGGCCCATCCCATGGACTAAATTGAAGGTTTGGATATGGTCTAAACCGTCTCCTCTTGTAAAGCGAAGCCTATCAAGCAGCTCTAATTATTTAATGCCCCAGCATTTGGGAATAACCACAGCCACCACGGGACCTTCCCGAAAGGCTGTACCCAAGCGATCAGGCCTCATACATTAAACTTTACTTGCTACGTTGAAATTTTGATTGGACATACTATCTTCCATCTTCCATGGTATGTCATTGTGCAAGCGTCCCCACGAAGAATCTTAGCAAGTATCAATCCGCTGTTCAACCAATGCGGTCACCTCTACCTACTTAAGCAGGGTACTTGTGATCTTGTGAGCGGATAATCTGACCCCCGTCCATAGTTCTTGGTATGCTTTACAAGTAAGATTTTTGAGATTTTTATAATCTGTAGCAGATATTAACACGAGTACAGGTGAAAGATATTAATGGCCTGTGAAAATTTGTTGTAGACCTTGTCGAGATCCGTTGGTTGGTCCGCTTACAATAAATTTCGATACCAGCAGTTAAAAGCTAGATATAAACCCACTGTTGATTAGTGCACTTATAATGCATTTTCATACACGAAATCGAAAGATAGATTTAAATAGACGTCCCAAAATTAAGTATGTATTCCGCTAGGCTTTCTTTCGATTGCTATTTGCTTTTCAAAATGAAACGATACATGGGAGGATTTCAAAAAGCAGTCCAGTCCTTATTTCAATAGCGTACATGCTTAGGCTAAATCACGTCAGTATAGAAAGTTTCATCAACACATCTCTCAAAATTGCGGCGGGTGTGTTGACCATGAAGAAAACAAGACGGACGGCCGGAAAGATAAGCTCAGAATAAAGAGTAGTTATATTTTAAATCCTTGCGGGAGTTGCACAGATCCGCACAAACTCAATATACCCTATATAGTGATTTGAAGTATAAAACTTACCAGATCTTTAATGGGCACAAAGAGCTGTTACCCCTTAATTACTTACCTTTTCCACCTCTTCTGATGCAAAGATGTTTTACGTTACCCGATGCACTTAAAGAAAGTGTAAGTGATAACTAACGAAGAATGCAAAAAATTTCGAAAATATATTTTGTTTTCTAAATATAAACGAAATTAAGTTAAAAGATTGAAATATTTGCTTACCCCACATAGATTTCTTTAATAAAGAAAAAACTTTCTTTCTCA